TTATTCCTCTGGCTCCACGCCTCAGTAACACAGAGGCTCACAGAATGGATTGGGTTCAAAGGGAGTTTAAAGGCCATCTCATCCACCTGCCCTGCAGTGAGCATGGACATTGCACTTCCTTCCTCCTGCCTGGGCACATCTGAGCCTCTGTCAGACCCAGCACATGCTGAGAACAGTCTCTGAAATCTTCTGGGAGATGTGGATGCCTACTTAGCACAGAAGGCAAACTGTTAGAAGCTTGTCAAGTGCTAGAGCTCTCTAAGGCTATTCCCACCCCACATTCTCTATATTTCCTCTGCACATATTTCTGTGCAAACACTTTCTCTTGCCACACTTGTTTCTGTGCATATGACTCCTAGCTGGTTAGAATTTGGCATCTATGTTAGCAAAGAAATACCAACAAAGACAATTGTGTTTGCATCTCTAGTGAGGCAGACTTTATTTTGATGAACAAGGATTTCTGTCCGTGGCAAAGAGACTGGAACCTCGGGGCAGTATCCTCAGAATGGATGGGTTTTACTGAGGAGTGCAAAACACAACAAACTGATGGGGGAGACACTGGCAGGCTCAAGTCTGAAAGATGCCTCTACCAGAAAAGTCATCAGAAGGAGGTGCCTCGGGTCCCTGGGAGATGCATCACTCAGGTTCAGCCCAGATAATACCCATGTAGGAAAAATTTCCTTATTTGCCAAGGTCATCTAGAGTGGGAAAGGATGGAGGAGAGTTAAAGGCAAGCAATAGAAGCATCAGGAGCTGTGGGATGAAAACTCCAAACAAACTAAAACAAACAAACTGGATTAAAAATAATGATCCAAAATCAGAGTTTATCTGTTGAGATCTACTAGAGCAGCTATGTTAATATTGTCTCCCTCAGCTTTCTGCCTCTGCTCCTGGAGGTGTCTAAAAGGAATTTAAAAATAAAAATCAAGACAGAAGAAAAAATTCACCATGAACAAAAGTAAGACTGACCTTTTTCTGTTTCCATGTAAACTTCCAAAAAATATTGAGAAAGGTGCCAAACCATTTTTATGACTCAAAAATATTTCTTCTTCCCTTTTCATGACATTATCTCTTGTTTGCCTTTTATTTACTCATACCACAGCCACAGTTTAAATAGACAATATGAGTTATGTAATAACTTAGAGTCAGATATCTTGTGTTTCTCAAATCTAATAAAGAAAAGCAGACTTCTCTTAAAGCACACTGTGGCTTGAAACACAAGGCTGTGGGTTTGGAGTCAGACGTTATTCTTGTTATCTTCACCAAGGTCTCACACTTGAAAGAGAGCTCCCACCTTATTCTCGTAGCTGACCCCACCATAAGTGTTTTTAACCACCTTCCCTTTTTCAGCAAGCAATTGTTTCACTGATAGGATATGTGTCCTGCTCTCCTCAAACTAAACTCCTCCTTCCATTGTTCAAATTTTTTCCAACTTTTTTTTTAAGAAGTTGCTCTTCTGTATCATATTGCTTTAAAGGATCAAAGTCAGTCATTCATAACATCAGGTCTTCCTTGTCTCTCTGTGAACACCTATTTAATACACTGCAAGCACATTATATCTAGACTATCTTTTGACATGGTCAGCTAAAGGTCTGCTGGAGTGGCTGGGGTAAACACACAAAACTGGGCCTCTTCCATCTCTTTCACTGAAGAAAATAATAATAACTTTAAATGAAACAAGCATTGATATTGAATATGCAAACCACAAGGCTGTTCCACACTATCACACTGTAAGAATCTGATTATTTTGTAGAACCTGGTACAAGCTCATCCAGAGTGACATACTTCAGGAGATCCAGCAGCTACTAAAAGCTGAAAAATTCAAGTTCAAAATTTGAGAGAGTAAGAAAATTAATTCTAGGCCTCCTTCATTTCTTTTCCCTCAACAGCTCCATCTTATTCCTGTAAATGCTCCAAGTGGTCACCTAAAAAAACTCCTAAAAAATCTCTACTTAATATTTTTGCAGAGCTTTAATGCCAGGTGATCTATTAGTATTCAGGATTAAGTAACTGCATAATAACTAACGACAGACATTTACGGGCCTTCAGAAATTTCATGGTCAAGACAGAATAATATCCAGGATTAATGGCAGTTTGATCTCAATTCTGAGAATCTGAATGTTAAAGCCAAGGATTTTACTGCCACTTTAGACAGGCAGCCTTTTTCCAGAGGGAAAACAGCCCCCAAAGTGTTCTACAAGACAGCATCTCCCATCATGTCATGTTTATCTGAAATTATCTCACCAATTTAGCAGCACAGCATATCTGACAGAACAAACATTTGATAAGGATGCAATGTTTCTAAATTCAGTTAACATCCATCAGTTAACATCATCCATTGTAGAAGTTGCAAACGCTCTTTTGTTTCAAGCCTGTAGCAATTGCTTGACTCAAACTGCTCCAGACAGCAGCTTATTAGTATTATTTATCCATTAGCACAACTATGAACATCACACAGCACACAAGTCTTTAGAGCTCGGTATCTAAAACAAGATAAGTAGGATAAAACATGATTTTTCATGCTATAAAAGCAATTTGCTCCCCAGAATTATTTTCCAGCTTGACTTGAAAGATTATCATAAATGGAAGGAAAGGGCAAGGGAAAAAAAAAAAGCCAGTGTTCAGACAGTGACATTGTAAAACTATATTCCTATTTCAGGGATGTGAAATAATTCATAAGATAATACAATGTACTGCTTTCCATATGTAATAGTTTATTCATGCCACAGGACAGATCCCATTGTAACTAATCAGTGGAAAAGCATAATGCAGTAGCTGCAGAGATAATTCCAACAGCAGCTGTAATTAAAAAAATAAAAACCAAACAAAACAAACACACACCAAAAAACAGGAAAGTGCTTTCTGTGAAAACTTCAATAGTAATTTCAATTTATAATTGCCTTCTATGATGATCACAAACATCTTTACAACAAAATAAAGACCAGTAATTAGGACTTGCCAATGCTTAAAACCTATAAGCAGTATTTTTTGCTTTAAAAACAAAAAAAGTTGTGAATAAAATCCCTGAGTAGGAAATCTGTCTGATAAAACTCTAAGCAGAAGCACCCTGAATTGGAGTGCCCACTCTCAGCTAGAAGCAATATCTGTTGTTGGAGCTGGTCTACATACAAATCAGAACGGGGCTCACCAAACCTATAAACTTGAAAGCCAAGCCAAAGGCTGTGTGGGCATTTCAGAGGGCAATCCTCTTCAGACAAAAGACCCTGTATCAGAATTCCTGCTGTGATGCTGCTGAGGTGTGTGGGGTGAGAATGCACAGTACATGGTCTGCAGAGATGTGGAAGGGAGTCTGCCATGCAGTGAGAGAAGCAGCTGGCTTGAAAGCCATTCCAACAAGCACTCAGCTACATCAAGTGGCTACTCCTGATAGAAATTTCTGCTTCAGAACAGTTCATGTGTACACAAAGGCAAAAAGCATAGGTATGAGCAGCTATACCCTAGGATAAACCCAGCTGCTGCATGACTGTAGGCCATCAGACACTCTAAGAAAGAGACGTCTGACATCAGGTATTTAGTTCAGTGCTAACACTAGCACTAGTTCAGTGCTAGAAGTACTCAGATTTTAGAGGGGAACTGTTTGGATTTACATTTCTGCTAGCATAATTGCCAGTTCAAGCCATGCCTGAGAAGAATAAATCAATACTACTTTCCTTGGATGTTTTGTAAATAAATTACTCCAGAAAATACCCTGACCTTGCTTCATCAACTTCTGTTTTATGGGAAGTGAGACACTGTCCTTAGGCATTGGCAAAAGTGTGTGAGTTTGTAGAGAATCTCAAGAGAACAAGAAAGAGCCTGAATAACAATGGAAAAAACATATTAAACAACCTGCCCTGACTTATTAACTTTAAACAAGATAGCCACCACCCATAAAGAATATTGGGTGTTTTAGGGGTTTTGGATGTTCAGATCTGGGACATCAGTTTAGGTTCAGAACAGCAATGTTCTCAAGGGTCCATTTCCTCTTATAATAGAAGACTTTGGCATAAGAACCATATAATAGATGGTTCTTAGCATCTCACTGGGTCAAGCAATAGTGTAGCAAAACACAGTCTGCTAGTTCTAGTGAAACACTGGAATTTTACTGTAGTAAAATGGAGGTGCAACATACTGCTTATAACAAAATGCCCATTCCAGGAATTTGTGTGTGCCTCATGAAGGGAAAGTTCCACAAAAAAATGTCACCTCAGTGCTCAGTGGATGTCACAGGGTCAAGTGAACGGAAACAAGAAGCTATTAGGAAAGAATAAATTTGCTTCTTTCAGGCGGCAAACATCTTTCTCAGCATTTGTAGCTCCCACACTTAATTTTAATAGGATGTTAAAATGCAAAAAGACTCAGAGAACACCACAAGGACACTTCATAGGCACAAAACAACGTCAGTATGAGTAATATTTAAATAGATGAGCACTGAAGGAACAGTACAGGACCTCTCCTATGGTGACAATTGGACACGATGGTCACTACTTCTTCTAATATAAGAACTACAAGGCTCCAAGTACTACTAGTAAAGAACAGGTTCAAATCAAACAAAAGCAGATGATTCCTCACACAGGCAAGGCTGGTCTGTGAAATTGCTGAGTAAAGGATGTGGTAGATGCTAGCAGTTTACTGTTTCAAAAAACAGCTGGGCAAATTCATGGTAGAGAACTTGACCAACAGGTGTCAAGTGGAAATAAAATGGAAAAAAAAGCCCAACCAAACAACAAACCAACAACTCACACCCCATACACTGACTTTCAATTCTCCCAGTCATAAAATTGCTTAGGAAACTACTCTGAGAGTACATCACTAAGAATTGGTAAATTCCTCCCCAGATTTTTTCCCAATTAAAGACCATTGCCAATGCACAACAACACCTATTAAGACCTTGAACAGTGCTCCATCCATTCTTGTGTAGACATCTTTGGTTTTAGCTAACAAACCCTTCTAAACATGAGCATCATTTTCAATGCAATTGCTCATATTTTAATTTCATAATGCTTCACTCACTCTGTCTCTCCCTTGCCCTCCCTTTCTCTCTTTTCAGGTTAAGGAAAATCCAGATGGGGTGCAGGTGCTGCAAAATGATACAAAGGTACAATAGAACAAGAGTGTCTTAGACTGAAAAAAAGAAAATCATCAAACCGTGTGTCTGTGCTCCCCCACACCTGTTGCTTTAATTAACCACCGTAAAAGGTTGGAGTTCTTCCAAAGTTTACAGCATCTTTAGGTATAGGCATACAGATTTCCTATGAAAGTCCTTTTAATTTACTGTAATTAAGGTCCACTTCTATAATTCCTATCCCACAAAAGGAATTGTGTTGTATTGAAAACTCTTCTTTACTAAAGTAATTTCTAATTTAGGTAGCATGGGCTTTCCTCAATGCAGGAGGAGCAAGGAGCACACATTAAATCAGATCCTCCCTTCTCCCAAGCAATGGAAATGAACAGCAGTTCCTTGCTTCCATCATAGCTGTTAAATGTTGTTAGCTTGGGAAGAATTCCCATATTAAAAGTCTCCCTAGAGAGGAGGGCTAGCTAAGCTAGCTAAGCTCTTTACAAAGAGCAAATTTCAGCCCCACTGGAGGGTCACTGCTGCCCCTTGGCCACTTCTGTAGAAGAGGTAAGGAATGGGGAGAAAACAGTACTATGAGAGAAAAAAGAAAGATAAAGAAAAGAGAGAGGCCCTGGGAGAGGCTAGTCAAGGAAAATATAGAGCAAGAGGATGAAAATTAATCAGGAGGGGGGGAAAAAAGGACAAAAGACTTGAAAGAAGAACACCAGGAAAAAATTGAAGACATTTTAGCAACTGTATGAGGACATATTAATTTAAAATCCAGGTTATGACTACTCATTGGCTAATCAGTTCCCCAGAGAAAATAAAAAATAAGGCTGGAAACAAGCAATGAGTACCACACAGTTCTCCAACATCCTCCTTACGCTCCTGGTGAATCTCAGTACAGGGGTTAGCTATGATCAGTCCCAGGAGAGAGCAGCCAACAGCACATTCAGCATTTCCATTTGGTTTAACTCATTCTCAGGACCCAAGGTAAAGTTCAGTGACACTCCTTCCTCAGGACTTTCAGCCCAAAAAGGAAGTTTAATCTTTTTTACTAATTATATTGATTAACATCATAAGTAATATTTCTTTACAAATTTTTTCTTACAAATTTTTTTACAAATTTTTCTTACTCCAGCTATATCTTTGATCCAGAAGAGGTACAATCATCTGGATGCATTCATGAAGTAAACAGCTATAAACACAATGAACAAGGCAGCAATAAATCAAAATTCAACGAAAACAGTGAAAATGAAGAACCCAAAAATGAACTACAGCAGGATGAGATAAACAAAACAGAAAATAAAAATCCAGTAAACAGCACAACAGAAACTCTCAGGAATCACAGAGGCAATGATTCTCAGGAGGATGGCCTTGTGAAGTGTGCTGCAAAGCTTGACATTGCAGTCAATGGTGGCAACTCCTGTGCTCAGCACTCCATGCTCAACCCCAACACAAGCCCAGTGAAAGAATCCAGTGAAAAGGGAACCTGCAGCCAGTCAGAAGCGTCTCTAGCCAGCAGCAGAGACTTTCACACCGAGTCAAATAGGTCTGAACAAGAGCTTGACCTAGAGAGAGGCAGTCAGAGTAAGGCAGCCAGCAATGTGCCTAACAGTATTCCAGACTCCCAGTCTGCAGGAGACAGCATCTTTCTCAAAGGAAACTCAACACTGGAAACAGAAAACAATACCATAAGACTGCCAGATATTGATTATCCTCAAAATGGGAATCAAACTGGGAACTGTGTTGAAAAAGACAGCTTTTCAGTCAATTGCACACATTCAGACCAAAACACTGGTACTCCAGCAATATGGGACCAGGACCTTCATGCAGTCCCACCCTGGCCTGTGAAAGAGAGCAGTATTGAACCTTTTAGAACAGACTCGGCAAGTTTGAGTGAGAGCCTTGCTGCTGGCATCACTGCAGTGGCTGCTACCAAAGTCCCACAGGCACCCACGCACACCAACAATAAAGATGCCAATGGAGGAATTGAGGAGGAAGATGCAGAAGTTGCAGCAGCTCTGGCTGCTCTGGAAGCAGCAACAGCAGGAGAAGATGTGGAAGATGATGATGAGTACTAGATGGTTTCTTTCTAACACACTGGGTAAGATCCAGATGTTATTTCTGGATCAATATGACCAGATATACAGCACACATGGAGAGCTGTTATAAACAGCTAATATAAAAGGAGGTGGGACTAAACCTGGGTCCCTTCACCTGTTTTATACAGCCTTTTAATTTCTACTGCCTGAGGTACAGAAGAACTCTCTTGACTAACGGTAATACCCTTGTCTATGGGCCAAAACAGGAGGGCAAACATCATTTCTTCCACACAGAATATTCAGTTGTACACCCACCTCATCTGCACTCATGCAAGTGTTTCCTTTCTTTCCTCATGAGGGTCTGTGCACACTGCATGTTCCAGGTAAACTCCCATTATTTAAAATAGCATTATTGAAGCCATGGAGTTAGAAACCACATATTTTCATCATTAGCAGAAAAAACTACATAAATGAGCCAAAGTTCTATGATCTACTGAAACATGAAACAGGGAAGGCAGCTTGGACTGAACCTTACTGTGGCTATGGTTCCATTATAGATTAAGCCTAAATCTGTGCACGTGCACCTGGCACTGGAATGACAACATCATTTTTCCATACACATGTCTCCCTTGACTGTGTTTGATACCCCAAGTGTTGCTGCTTTGGTTCCTTAAAACAGCAGAAGCCCAGCCAAATCCAAGAGAGTGGGTAATTTCTGTTGGTTTAATGTGCTCAAATAGCTCATGTAAGAACTTCACACACACTATCAGAGGGGCCAGAGAGATCAAAACTCATTCCCTACCAGTTTGGACAGATTAAAACTACTGTAAAACGACAGCCTGAAATCTCTGAACTCCACTAAATTTTTCAGGTGCATGTCTTAACAATACCGTTTTCAAAGAGATTGTGTCTCAAACATCCCCAGCAAGATGTACTTTGTTTATATAAAAACAGCAGGAGCCAATGTGGATTCCTCCTTAGCTGTGCTGTAGTCCCTAAATTTACAACAGGAAAGGGATCGAGCTTCCAAACTGGATTAAGCATAAGCTCTGAAAATAGTTGCAGATAGAGACCAATTTGGTGCTGCCAATTCAGCAAAAGTATGGTTGAAGTAGAACATGCTTAACATTTTATACTGAAATTTTGTGGTTTCAAAGTTTTTGTTATAAACTCCTAATAAATTTTTTAACCATATGAAAAATAATCTGGTGGTTTTTTTACTTTATGCATTTTCTGAAAAAAAAAAAGTTTTAAGAAGTTAATATTTTAAGAAATTCAATAAGATATAGCCCTCATTAGATACACGAAAAGCACCAACAGTGCTTATTTGCCTACAGTATATGCTGATTTTGATTTCTCAAAATGTTAATGACTAGGATGGGTACCTAGGAGCACTTATGGTACCCAGGAGTACCTAGGAGCAAATAAAACAACCTAAAGTCTCAGCTGCTAGAGAACTATATCCAGCCACAGGCAAGAGTCACAACATCATATCTGTAAGATAAAAAGCTTTATATGGTTTTAAAGTATTGTAGTACTGTTGACTTCTCTACCACTCTCATATTTTAATAGGCCCTTCTAAGCCTTCTCCTAAGTGCATAGAAGTTTTACAGATCCATTTGTCCTTCAAAGACGACAATTCTGAGAGTCGGTGGAAGTGCCGGCACGTTGCAAATACCGAGTTATGCTCATTGTCGCCAGTCCCGGCTGTCCCTGCCTGGGGCCCAGGAGCCCATTCACCCCCTGGGTCAGACCTGCCAGCCCAGCCCTGGGCCCTGCTCCCTGTGCTGGGGCTCTCCTGGTGCTGTTGGCTGCCCCATGCCCTGGCTGGGGCAGGAGGACAGACTCTGGTGTGGGATCCAGCCTTGCTATCCCCAGGGAACCCCTACTGCTCCCCACATCCCAGCCCCAGGGAGCCAGCAGCCCCTTGCTGCACCATGACACGAACCATGAAAAACAATTCAAGTAAAAAAGGTGTTAAAGAAAGAAATGCCACAAACACCCCAGAAAACTTACCTGATTTTTTTCAATCTCCACTCATTTCAATTTTTCTGAGCTCCAGCTCAAACTTCAAGTGCAAATCACAGCAAGTTTCTCACCTTGCTCCCCAAGCACTAAAACAAATTAGAGGAGAGCCCAGATGCAGCTCAGACAACCCAAACCAATCAACTCTTCCATGGGTGCCTGCAGCCACGGGCCACCCTCTGCATGAGAGCAGCTGAGCCACAGACAGTGCATGTCTTGCAGCCCAAGTTCTCATTGTCACAAATACAAGAGGCAAAACCCAGCATAAAGCACATCTATTCACTGCATTGGAAATAGCTGGTCAGGGTTCTCTCACAGAATAAAAAAAAAAAAAGAAAAAAAAAAGTCCGGTATCAAACTTACATCATAGGGAAAGCTTCCATAAAATAAACCTGTGAGGTAACACCAACATTCAGCCTTCTTTTACCTGCTAGGTTAAAAATCCCAGTGCAGTTTTTAAATTTAAAAAAAAAAAAAAAAAAAAAAAAAAAAACAAACCAAAAAAACAAAACCCATTTGTATGCATTTTATATTTACTCATCTGTTTATAGACTTTCAACCCTACCATGACACCAGTGAATGTTAGGAATTCTTATTTTTCAGGTTACAGTACAATTTTCACAATAAATGCGAAAATCACTTATGTAAGAAATAACTTTTAAATGCCACACACAATTTCCTCCCAAAAATTGGATTTTAAATAATTATGCGAGAACCAGATCTTACTCTGTCCATCAGATGTTGATTCAAATAAACACAAACAACACTGCCAGCTTGAAGAATCTATTTTGCTCAGGCAATTGTGAGAGAAAATATCAGTAACTTGAGAACGCAGAAAATCACAGAGAAAAAAAACACTACTAGAAGCAAGAGTAAACTGTATTTTAAGACTTCTGTCAAAAATTACATATTGTTTTAAGACACCCAGACACTGTATCTTCAGCTACCAATCAACTGTGTTTCCTACATTCAGAAGGGTGACTTATGAAGTATCATTAAAGTCTCTCAGTTCTCCTTTGATACAAAATAAATTAATATGGGAGCTGGTTGGCCAATATCTATCATTATTATGTTTCTGTACCTGATGGAATCCTTTATAGGTAAGTGTGAAGACATATGTAGCAATAAAAAACAGGTAACAGGATGGGAAACCATTATAAGAGTTGGTATTTCTATGAAAGCTTTTGCATCTTGGAAGCTCCTGGTTTATTTGCCATTCTTCAAAGTCAGTAACAACTTAAAGGGAATTTGCAGTCTTTCAAAAGCAAAGAGACATCGAGGAAGACTAAGTTTAGCACCTTCACATTTGGCAGTAGGTTTGGATTATTAAAAAAAAACAGATTATTGGATTATTTTTAAAAAAGGATTATTCAAAAAAATTAGATTGCTGCAGAGATTTCACATACAACTACAGGAGCAGAAAACAGCCCAGTCCACCCTCAAGGAAGTTATTTCCTAGAGAAAATGCAGCAAGAGTAAACTTGCTGCAAGTAAACTTGACACTGCAGAATTCTTCAACTCAGCAAACAAAGTTCTAACAATTAAGCAGGAACCTGGAAATAGATAAATTCCACAAAGATGTGTTGTCATCTTATTGCAAAAGTTCCATACCTTCTTGGTGATTTCTCATGGTCATCTCCCTGCAGCACTTACTCCTACTCCTACTCCTACTCCTACTCCTACTCCTACTCCTCCTTCTTCCCAGCACAGCCAACAAACTGCAATTGTCTCCTCACCCAGCCAACCACTTGTCTTCTTATTGGACACAGCTGTGGCCTGTTAAGGGCAGGCCTGTTCCTATCTTTGGTGATTGGTACAGCTGCAGCTCCTCAGGTGTGAGACTGCCTTCTGCACTATCTTTGTTTTCTTACATTCTATCCCCTCCCAGGGATGGAGGTGTTTCCTCCCCTTTTAAAGAACAAAGGTAATTGTTTGGGCAAGTGTTGCTATGGAGACTTCCCATTAAAAATTGAAATTCAGAAACAGAAAATCTTATTTTCCAAAAGATATTCCAGATTTCATTGTTTATGTAAAATACCACTTTAACCACCATTTGAAGGGTGAAACAAGAAACCCTGAGTTGGGAATAAAATTTTAAAACTTAATCTTGACCTTATGTTGTATTTGTAGTTTCAATTTCCTAAATGTGATTTAGTTTTCCAAAAGATTAATTCTTGCCAATGTATCTCATTTTGCTAAATGAGAATACAATATCTCAACATTTACTAAGGTCTCTGTATATGGTATTCTACCTATTTATTCAAATGCCTATATTATACATTTTAATTACATTGAAACAATGATCTTAACAGATTATTTCTCTGGAATTTTGGTATCTTTCCCTGCATGTAGATGAAAATTGGAATCCACTAAATTGCACAAGAGCATCACTTCAAAATCAAATGTATTAAAACTTCTTTAACATGCTGAATACACAAAGAAGTTAAATTATCAAAGTCATTCTACATTAAAAGCTAATTTATTTTTAAACAATTCTGTTAATAAGACTTTCTTTCCAGACATTTTGTCCTACAGTTTAGAACAGAGATATGGCAAAATGTTTAACAGTAATTGTTAGAAGCAGATTAAAATTTTTTCATTGATCTTTTCGACATGAAATGCCCTTGCCAGAGGCTTTTTTCCTTACCATCATTAAATCAAAGCAGAAACTCCCCAGCTTATTCCCTTGGCCAAGCTTTTCAAATTTCATACATTCACATGCACTGCTAAAGATATTAGTCTTAGGACTCCCTTCTACATTACCAATTTTACTTGGCATCTCCAGGAGCTTTGTTTTTAAGTTTTCCTTCATCTTGAACCTTCACAATCCTAAACTTCAGCTCAGACAATCCTTGAACCAAACTCAATGAGTAAACAGAGAGCAGGAAACACTGCCTGCCCCCAAAATGGTACTACTGCTGAAAATTCTGCAAATTCTGTCCCATCTCCTTTGGGACTTTTTCCATTTCAAACTATGAACTGCTGAACGTTTTGAAGAATCTAATTGTGCATCTTGGACTCTGTAATAAAAATTGAATTAGATTATAGCAAATCAATGCCTTAACATAAGCAGCAATAACTTTTTAAGTGTTTTTTATAAATGCCATTTTAATTTTTTTTAATTGTTTAGTCCAATTTCACAACAGAATTTATCACATGTAGCTACTCCCCCACTCCCTACCTATTTCTCCTTTAGTCAGAGAAAATAAATACTCCCTTGTACATCTTAGTTTGGAAAACAGGATTCTGTCAAAGAAGCAGGGAAAACATCACCTCTCTTGATTTTGTTTCTAATTCTGTTGTTGAAGTACACATCCTAAGCAGTTACCTCACAATGACTGTGATCAAAGCTATCAAGGTTACATCATTCTCTGCTCTGAATCTTGACTGACATTATTATAAGCAGGACTTAACAGGTTTTTGCTTTAATTCATGGCTCAATTACTATACACTAATAACTGAGAAACCTCTCATTCATTAACAAAACAAAAAAGCTCAGAAGTCTTTCAGGAAATACAGCATCCCAACATTATGTTAGGTTGAAGGCAACAAGTACTCAACCAATGCCACAAGAAAACCATGTCACGTGAAGACAGCAGGTTAAGTCATTTATTTGCTCATTAAGGTCCCTTCTGTTTACTCTGAGCTAGAGATTAGCTTGAATATTATGAGGGTGCAGAAGCAGAGAGGAGAAAGGCAACACCCTCAGCTATTCACCTTAACCTCAAGCATGGCCAGATTTTCAATAATCTGTGATCACATATCCTATCCCCTCCCTGCTCTTAATACCTGGAGCCAGTACCAAGTAATTTACTTAGACTTTTGC